TAGAATATTTTAATATTTCTTTAATTCTCTATCACTGTTTTGACAAATTGCTATTGTTAAAATCAGCTTCAACCAGTATTTAAAAATCTAAAAATCTGAAAATCAGAAAATCTGAAAATCTGAAAATCTGAAAATCTGAAAATCTAAAAATCTAAAAATCTAAAAATCTAAAAATCTAAAAATCTAAAAATCTAAAAATCTAAAAATCTAAAAATCTAAAAATCTAAAAATTTAAAAATCTAAAAGTCTAAAAATCCAAAAGTCCAAAAATTAAATCTAAAAATCTCAAATTCTAAAAATCTAAAAATTTTTAAATCTAAAAACCTAAAAACCTATTTCAATGCTTATTCTTATAACTATATAATTTCAAATAATAATAACGGTACAAAACATAACAACTTCAAATTATCGCCGAAACTAACATATTCCAAAAACGTTATTCAGCGTAATTATTACTACTACTTGAAATTATTTTATTCATGAAAGGAATTCTTCAGTACAAACTCTTCTTAGTGATTCTAATTTGTAATAGGTTGTAATTAGTTCATGTAACGCCTGAAACGTTTATTAAATATCAATAATTACCAATGTACCGTTCCATGAAGCATTTTGTCGCGGTTCCAACAGTGAAACGTCTCGCGTTGAGTCGCGCTAATATTGCCTACAACAATCCCTTGTCAGCATTGAAACACATCCAGTCATGTCTGGGCAAGAAGCTTTCGTGATTCCGGACAGTTTGGAATTTCTCGGATTGCACACCAAGCACCGTACAAAGCAACGCATTATACCGAATGGGAATAACGTTTCGCTGTTTCCAGATCGATGGTTAATGGCTATTTAAATTCCGCTGACTCTAATTTCATTCGTCAAAATGTTTGTTTTGTCCGCTGAAGCCAGGTATATATCTACCTACCTCCCAAACATGTTTCATGTTTTTGAGTTTCAAAGTTAATGGCTCAAAGCAATTGCAATTTTCATTGTGCGTGGGCAACTACAGATACACAATTTCCTCATTCCAATATACGTATATTTTGCTTTAGTCAGCGGTGCGTACTAATGTTTGAAGAACACATTCACGATACAAGTCGTATAAAACCGATATTTCAGAAGAATTTTCGACAAACAGATTATTGTAGTTGTTAAGGGGTAACGTGCATCTAGATGTAGCAACAACATCGATATTTTTATATGTATACAGGGTGTACATAATAACTGGAACTGGCTATAACTCTGTTCACGGTAAAGTTGACAGGCATTGTAAAGAAAAAATATCTACTATTCGACAGACTCTATTACACTATGGTGTTGGTTTTTTCAGAAATAATGCAGTTGCAAAGCACAATTGAACTTTTCTTAATCATTTAAATTATTTTGTAAGTGGCTTTTTCGTGCCTATTAAAAAACATTTAAGATTTATCATTGAAAACTCAAAATTCTTCGAAATATCTGACTTCGAAGGCTTCGAAGAATTTAGTTAGGTTACATGGTTACATGGTCACTTTATATAAAGGCAATGCAAAACGAGCAGCGGTAAATTACAAACACTGTAAAGGGTTCTATACACGCTAAAACCTGTGGCGATGCAGGCAGCATTACAAGCGATGGGTTTCAGCCTTTTTCACTTTTTGTTTGAGTGCAACATGTATCATGAAAACTTGAAAGACTCAAACCTATCGCTTGTATATAGCGATGCAAGCATCGCCGCAGGTTACAACGTGAATGGGGGTCTTAACATTATAACTACTAGATGGGTTAAAACGACCAATTCCCAACTTCTTGTTTTACAATTACTACAAAGGTACAGATACTTCTTTAAGAACTGATTAAAGAAGCTGATCTAGTAATACCTAAACTGAAGCATAAGCCAATTGAAATCTCAATAAATTCACACTTATAGTTTTTATAAAGACATTTTATCCCTTTACATTCGTATGTCGTGCTGGAGATGACAATATAAATGTGTTACAGAACGTTGAAAATTATTTGAAAAAGTACCACACTCTAAAAGATTATATAAATTAAATCTTATTATAATAATAATAAATAAAATAAATATAAAACATTGAATTCTATCGCTGTAGATTACTTTAATTCGTATATTTAATTTTGGCCGGTTAAAACGGCCAAATCGACCACCGTGAGAAGGTTTAAGTGCTCGGTACTTCTAATGTTAAGAGTTACTCTCGCAACTTAACATTCGCTTTAACATCATCTTCGTGGACCCGTAATTCAGAGCAATTACCATTACATCTAACAACGAATAATACACGACATTTGTATACTCGCAACGCTGATTAGGTTTCACAAATGTAAAACAGCAGTTTCGTCCGCGGTGCGCGAACTTCTTCAACAGCGGCGCGGATAAAGGTTGTCGTTAACGGTAACTCGAAACACGGGCGAAATAAAGGACCTTTTTAATAGCTCGATGGTCGTCGGGGAACGAATATCGACGTGTAAATGCAACGAAAGGAGCCGGCGAATCTGTTGGGCGGACACATCGGCCAGGCTCTCATCTCTCGCTGTACTTTCCAGGCCCGCTAACAGGAAAATTCGAGCTGGAAGCGAAACGTCGCATTTAATTTATCGCGAATTTCAGCGTTAGAATTTCACTGAGATTTGCCGGGCGACGATCTTACTCGTTTTCCAACCGGCAACGAGCAGAGAAGCGTGTCTCGCTCGGCCGGATGACAGTATTATCTTCCGTCATGGCGTCGTTGTTAATTTGAAATTACCGGCCGCATCGGGGCCGTCCCGCTAAATAACGAGTGCTGGTAATTTAAGGGCCGTTAATAGGGAACGTTGTTAATTCACTGTTTCATATTTATTTCCTATTCGCCGCCGTGTTTCTAGTTACTGTTTTATTTATTCCACGCAATTTTTCTTCGCTCCTGTAATTGGCTTTTTTAAAGCGAACCTGTCGTGGCCGACTATTTTTCTTCGACTAACGTCTTGAAGTTAACAAGTCACATTCCGTTTGAATGCTCCGAATTATCGCGTGAAATTACATGTCCGTTGCATGTGCTTCGTTGAACGGCGCTGTGAGGTTTTTTTTGATATTTAATTTAGAATTACCAATTACAGCGTAATTTGGATCGATGAATACGTTGGCATGGAGTTTTTTTTATGTTATTTTGTCTAGGAATATTATTATACTATTTCGAGTGGATAATTTCAAAATTGAAAGTCATGTAAATGTTTATACAAGGTAAAATTTTCTTAAAGTAATTCGCGGAGATTGAATTTGAATCGCAATTTGCTTTTTCTGTGAATGAGTTTAGTATGTTAATATCGAGATACAAACACTACAAATTTAATTATATTTTATATACGCATTACTTCATGTTCATTATACTTTTGACATAAGCACATAAAAATTCGAAATACATATCAATCAAATTTTATTTCAGTGCTTTTAAATTTTATTCAATAAAACTTGGCTAAACACGTGTATCATTTACGTAAATATTATCATAAATTAAAGACACGTAATTTTAGAAACTTTAATTTCATTAATCGTTTATGATTCTTTATAGTTCTAAACAAAATAACGAGATTGAAGTGTAAAAATTGTAAAAACAATTCCCATTTTGCTCTTTTATCTTGCAGTAACAAGGAGAACAAGGATTTTAACAGCAATGAAGAATGGAAAATATTCTATGACGAATTCCTTTTTTCCCTCTTATTCATAAAGTTCTTTTTTAATCACAAAGTATTAACCACTTCATTAAGCGCAACCAACTCGAGCAGAACATTCTCAAAAGAGTGCTTTCCCGAATCGAGGAAAGAAAGGACGGTCGCTCTACTTTCTTGCAGAAAGTCACTCTAAGCTGAAACTTCTTTCCAGCTCATTTGCATTGCAATATTCACAAGTATTAGGGAGAAAATGTTCATACTTTCCGAAACATATAATACACGTTATTACTTTTTCATTTCGTAGTGAAACTAATTTTAAATTTTATCTACGTATATATGTATGTAGATAAATATACATGTTCAATTTAATTACGAAAGCGTTGCTTAGCTATATGGAAATTTAAATTTATAAATATTAATTTTTAAAAGTACATTAAATACCGACTTTTTTTATTTATTACGCGTGTTATATGAATTTTGTCGACATTTACATTTGTAGTGAAATTACAAATGTAAATAAATGAATAAACGTATGAAATTAAAAATCATTCAGGATTAACTTTTTGTCTTCAAAATTTTAATAGGATATATGCCAGATACAAACATCTAGTGTATTTTTTAGGTTTTACATTTTATTTTATCTAAAAGATAGAAGATGTTTCGTTAATGATAATGTGTTTTACGCAAACAAATCTTCCTTTGAAGATCACACTTTCTGAAGTTTCAGTATTATCATCTTTTAAAGGGAATCACTTAATTTTAGTAATATAACACTAAAGTCAATAAACAAATTGGGTCATATAAAATATAGTAAGAATATGCACCATCTGGCATTTCAATTCCGTAAGGAATTCAACTATAAATGATAGGTAAAACAAAAATATTAGAAAAAAATGCATTTTACAAGGGAACACATTCATGAACAGAATATATAATACTTTTTATTACTATGTTCAACATTAGAACAATCAAGCAATTATATTGTTCAGTTCGTATTCTCTTATACACTTTGCAGAGATAAATTTATTAAAATTTCGATTGACTTATATTTTAATCATTTCAATGAACAATTTCATTAATAATAAAACATTAACACTAAAAACTAATAAGTTCTCAATAATAACATTAATTTCTCCAATAATCATAAAAAAGAAATACAAAATGAATCATTTCCATATATGCATCTGATAACTCTAGTGTTTAAAAAAATTTCATAAATTCACAGCTGTTTAATCGTACAGATTCGGTCCGACTCTGATCGTAAGACAAAAGTCACAACTTCTCACCATATCTGATACGAGCTTATAAGATGGAAGAACGTGAGGTAAAAGTAGAAGAGGAATTATCACATGGAGAAAAGTACTCACTAGGATCCTTGACGGCGGTGATAACGAGACGGAAGCCATTCCCTTTAGTGCCCCAGGAGTCGGTGACGTATTTCAGTGTCACAAAGTTCGTGCGAGTATAAATCGCGCCCACGGTCTGTTCTGTGTTTTTACAGGAAAAGTCCGCCTGGGAAACAAAAGAAAGAACACACATTAAATTCAAACATTCCACAGAAAACACTATCGCGTTTACCATGGTTTTAAGATGAATTATACACGCAAGTAAGAGATATAAGACTTTCAGTGGTCAATCTATTATTCAATGTGTTACTTGCAATTTAAAGCGAAGTTAAACAATTTTTTGAAACAATATCAATTTCAATTGTTTCTGTGAAGTTTTATCTCTAAAATAATGTTGCAATTGTACGATTACTGTACATTAAGTGCAAAACTGAAATAATGCAGGTATTTTCTTTCTTACAAAATGGCCTAGTATATATTCTATTATTCATAGTAGATGTTTCAATATTAAATTTAAGGAATATATCAATTTTACAGATTTCATAATTCTTAAACGTCACATTCTTTATTGTTTCTTTGAAATTTGTGTTGACTTTGATGCAAATACTTATACGTGTATCATAATCCATTTTTATTTTAATTTTTCTAATTTTGAGACACCTGTACATGGTATGTCTGTTTTTATAGAAAGAATATAACGAAGTATTCAATCAGTGTTAAAAAATTCACTTTCTTTTCATCTGACTTCTTTTCTTTCATTTCATTCTTCTTTCAGACTATTTTCTCTTGTTCTTCTTCAGTTTAGAATACAAAGCTCTTCATTTCTATTCAAATCAGTCTCAACTATTTATTCTCACTGTTCCCGTCTTTTTTCTTTGCAAACTGTTGTTCACTTCCTTCATATTTTTATTTCATATTTTCGTTCAAATTATAACCTTCCTGTTTTTTAAGCTTTTCATATGTTTTTATAAACATCTCTACTCCTGTAATTATATTACCATACATTTCTATTTATTTTCTGTTCTGTTGGTATTCAGTAGTCCCGTAAATATATTCTTTTATAAATTCCCAAAATTTTCTATATTGGTTTAATTTCTTGTAATATTATTCTGAATTTTTAATTTTTAAATAAAAAATCTTAGTTACCAATAAAAGAAAGAGAAGTTATTGTTATTAATAACTTCACACTCCGTTCAAACTCAACATTTTATGAACAAGAAATTCATCGTTTTATATTTAATCTTTCTTAGTCTTCAAATTACATTTTTTGTATACCGTAGACACTTTTCCAACTTAGCAATGTTCGAAATCCATTTCTTGTAGCTTTCCCTCTTTTTATTTCGTATACTTTACCCTGACTTTCCCCGCTAACTCTTGTGGACAAGTTAAAAGCTTGAAGAGATTCTTTTAGTTTCTTACACTTCCGAATGAATTCCACAAAAGTTTGTGTGCCCCAAATCTTGTCTACTCTCAAATCTTCTTCACATGTCCAAGTGAGGCATTGATTACCTACTTGTAGCTTTTGATAGTCTATATGTATTCACTTTTCTTCTTTATTTTCTTTTCTTTTATTGTTTAATTTCTTTTTCTTTCATTATTTATTTTTATTTCAATATTCTTCTATTTTGTATATTTTTTTTCATTTTGCAAAATAATTAAGACATTGACTGCCACGAATAACTTCAGCGTTTTATATCTCACTTATCCTTTGTAGCAAAGATAAACAAGAAAAATTATCAATTATTTCTTATCACAATTTTTACGTTACAACATTATATAATTATTTAGGTTACTGAACATTTGTATTACTTAACTCAAAATTATAATTATTACTTTAATTATGAAGACTCGATCATCGACGACTATCGATTGAACAAATTGTTCCCTTCGACTTTTGTACATTACCTATTCCGCATCTTAAAATTAAAATATTAATCATTTTCAAAATTCAAAAACAAACGATACATAAATATTTAAACGCAGCACGTAAGAAGCTTTATCTCCACATAATTCTTGTGAAATTAATTAAGTGGACCAACGGTTAATTTATCTTCTTCATAAAACGGAGAGCCGTGTTTAATTCATAACTAAAACACTTCGCTCGACGGCGTTTGCAGGAGCGGCAGCGCAATATGGTTTGTAATGCATTGAATACACCGCGCGACTTAATTCGCTCTCAATATGTAGAAGCGGAAGTTTAAGAAAATATTATGAAAACAGAATTTCTTAAAAAGCCCAGCAACCTCTAATCTACATTTAAGACGCTGGAACAGAATTTCTTAAAGCGTTCCATAAACTAAGCTTTACAAAGTAAGAGGATAAATATGCGGTTTCCAGTCGAAACTTTTAACGAGAGTCTGAGTAACGCTTTAAAACGCGTTATTACTAAACATCGAATGTGAGGAAAACTTTCCATTTTAACTGAACTTCGCGGGGAATTTCAAAATCACGGAAGTTTAAAATACTCTGACCGTTGAACGAATTAAAGGATAGCAAGATTTTCATTCGACGGTTTTGTATTTTATTTTAAACATCGCTGTACCAGCTACATCGGATAAACAAAAAAAATTGTGAGGTAACAATACACAGTCACCGGCTGAACAAACAACAGCGACTTTCTAATAGAGAAAACCGCATATGGTACCAACCGCGAGGTTTCTGTTACTGTTATTGATATATGCAGGAAAATGTTTGTTTCCTGTTTGCAGCTATGCAACAGGGAAAAATGTTTGCGATGGACGCGAACAATGCATTTCATGAAAAAAATCGTTATCACGTGTTATCCAAACTTTGGTCATTTTGAATACAAAATTTGGGAAGAAATATTAATACATAGAATGTCACGAGAATGTCAAATGTTTTGCATAGTGATACTTATTCTTTTGTAACAAAGGCAAATGGTATTGGAAGTAATTATTAATGATTTGGTATAACAGTTCTTAGGTAACAGTATTATTTAAATGCTTATGGATTAAAGCGATGTGATTTTTCACTAATGTGGCTGGCAATACGAACCTCTTATGATCAGTTTTGATTTTCCATTGTTGTGAGTTTTGTGAAAATTTGAAAAGTGGTGAAGATACTTATTATAGCCTCTAATTTAATATCCAATTAAAATGTTAGACAATCATTCGTATCATTTTGCAATAAAAATTGAGAATCGTGGTTGGTCATGAAGAGATAAGATTTTCAACAGGCCTGTAACCCTTTGGATACGTAGATTTTCATATGTATGCATTTCGTGCAACGCAGCATATGGCAGAAAATGAATTACGGCCTACACTGAGAACGGCGGAATATTGCGTCAGCGTGCATCTCTAAGAAAATGTATTGAAACAATCGAAACGCTGAATTGAGCTAAATTAAACGAATATAAAATAATTACATTTATATGATGTACCACAAACGGAAGATCTAATGGTTGAATTAGAACACTATTATTTTTATTCGTCGACAGATATCTCACGAATTATAATTATTTTCAAGCAATTTGAAAGTTCCAGTCATTGGTGACCACTGACCACAGGGCGAAAATTCATTCTGTCGCATCGATCATATTTATTTCCCTCGATACGTAATCCGTCCGACACTTGTTGCGTCTTACGATTTAACGAAGAAACCCGGAAACGGGATCGAGTCGAGGAACAAAAGAAAGAAAAGATGGGGTGAGGTCGTCGGAGGCCGGTCATCGATTGTCCCCGATTCACTCGTTTCTGGTCCGTTGTTCACGCGGCTTCGTTACCCACGAAATATTGCGGCCGGTCTATCGCACAATAACTGTCTTCTTTCCGACCCTATTAGCGCTGGCGGACGCTTAAACGCGGATAATCCATATTTAATTATCTCCGGTGCTCCGTCCTCTCCGTGCAGAGAAGCGGCGACGATCTCGCCGCGTCGCATAAACCGAAATAATTAAAATCCAGCCGGCCGCGCGCGTATGTCTGAAACGCTCTTCCCGCGCGGCGTTAAAATTCATGGGCACACCCCGACGCTGTCCGTGCGCTCGCCGCGGTGAAATTCGCGGATTTGCGCAGGTGAAGTGATTTTAATTGTGGAATGCTAATCAGGGGTCATCCGATACCCGTAGCGTTGTTGACAAATACAGTCGACCCTCGATTTACGCGGCACATTTTTACGCGAGTCCCCCTTTTACACAGTAATTTTTTAGCGCGATCTTAACCCTTAACGGACGCATTGTTTCTTCTTTATCTTTCTCAATTTCTGGGCGTTTTTAATGAGAATTAAATCAACATGTATGTATGGTTTAAAAAATACGAAATTACTAAAAAATACTACCTAAAAAGAAAAACTGCACAGTAGGTTAAGCAGGCAGATAGTCCTGCAACTAACGGTAAAAAGAAAAAAAACCGATTTGCATAAAAATGAGAAACTATCGCAGCGTAATAAAAATTCAAGCAGAAACGTAAATCTACATAGCCCATCTTAGAAAGTCAGAATGAAGAAACATAAATTTACGTGGTTTGACCGTTAACTTTGATTTCCTCCGGATCCTCGTATTCCTCCCGTGTATTGTGGCAACATAACACTTTCTTTTCTGAAATATTAGTATTATTATTTCGCTTGTTTGGCTATGTGGAAAATCGAGTGCCTGGATCTGTAAAGTGTGAATGCTCAATTGTCTGCGCGTATGGTCAGTGTCGCCTTGCGACTACACAACGCCAGTATATTTGGGAAATCGCCTGACTGAGTTTAGAGAATCTCAAGTGGCTGAAGAAATGCGAAGCAGAGCATTTGGACTGAGCGAATGGTCCGTGAAAAAGCAGCGATAACCAGCGTGAACGTGACTGCGTGAATGTTGTCTATGGCCGTTAGGCCAGGGTGCAAGTGAGGAAGGATGTGGGTGAAAAGTAAGTAAGAGTGATTGGGGGTGAATGCTATAAGTGCGTGGATCTTCGGAGGTGCGATGAGTATTCCGGGAGTAGCGATAGTGTCTAGAGGGTTGTCTCTGCGCTCGAGGTTCCGACGAATAAAAAGTATAATTACGTATATTGCCTCCCTATTATAATCACAGCACGTAGTAAACACTGTACGCTGATACACAACAATATACTGTGGAGGTCCCTCATTATCAAGCTAACCTTTGGTTCAAAAGTGAAAAGGGGCAAGGGAACTCTTCCACTCACGATGCTCGGACCTCGGCGTGCG